CCAGCAGTAGGAAGTCGGGCAAATGTGTCTCGTAGCAACCCCACGCGCGCATTCTCGCACGAGAAACTCGCACGCAACGTGCATTTCTGATGCGTTAGAGAAGAATCTTTGCCGAAGAATCTGTTGGAACACGTGGTTCGATTCAGCTTTATCGATTTATATTTATACTTGAAATCGATCAAAACATCGCTTTTTAAATATTCATTCATATCCTTTAACTATGAATTTTAACTTAGAATTGTTATTTACACAGATATATAATTCTAATAATTCTCGAATTAAATTATCTATCTAAATTAGGAAATTTGGTTTGCTTTTTTTTTCAGAAAAATAACGCGAAAGGGTGAAAATTTTCTGACCGTTTGAAAGGGAAGGGGAAGGGGAGGGGAGCGCGCGAGTTAACGAGGCAAACGTGTGGAAAGTGTCGTGTTCGTGGAGTGAATGAACGATCGGTTCAATGCCAATGTTACGGTGCCATTGGTGCCAAGGATGAAGGGTCTTCTCAACTCTTCACCGGCGTGCGCACGCCACTTCCGCTTTGCTACCTGAAACGATGCTGCGTATTATAGGGGGCCAAATATTCGAAAGTTTCGTCCGTTTTATTGCGTGAGCGGATTTTTTTATCATCGACCCACGATCGAGGTTAATGAAATGATAGATTACATTTTCGATCACTTTGGAATTGGGGCAATTTCGATCCTAGATATAGATCAATACGAGGCAAATATTCAAAAAGAAATGTTTCGACGTTAATCGTACAAATTAATTATCTGATTGATCAATCGATCGAGTTTTCAATTCCATTCTTACGATTCGCTATAATTGAGTTTTGAAAACGAAATCTCCAAGTTTACGTTACTACGTAATGTTAGAAAATAATATTAAACGAGATATCATCCTATAATCAACTGTAGTGAAAAAATAATAAACATAATCCTCAAATTGCAACCTATTTCTTCTAATTCAATATATTCTAATTATATATTAATATATAATATAATTCTAATTTCAATATATTCAGAAGATTTAAAAAGATTTAAAAAGTCGATAATAATATCGCCAAACTTTTACTACTTAACGTTAAAAGCGATCGGGATTAAATCGCACTTTACCGTGTGCAAATAAACCCCCCAAAAAGGCGAAGCGATTCGATTAAAAAGTATGGACGAAGCTCGCGGCTAATGGTAGAAAGTAAATGCGTAGGACGAAATCGTTCGCGCGATAGAAATCAACTTAGGCGACGACGGAAGAATAATCTTTGAGCCTCCCGGCACCGTTCACGAGGCTTTCTTTCGGCTTCCTACGATCCCTGTTCACGACTCCCTTCGCATTCCCGTCACGATCGAGGCGCGAGGCCTCGATAATCGAACACCATACTGAACGAAAAGAAAATTCGTGGCCGGATGGAAGTGGGGACGTGGTGCGAGCCGTG